GTTGAGTTTATTTATTTGCAATCATTTGATTACGATTTTGCAGAACTCATGTTATAGCGCTTGGCGAAACCACCTAGGTACGTTTTTCATTTGCGAAAAGATGTTAAGTAGAAGGAAATCAGTGACTGAAGAGATATAACTAAGATTAATTAAATACTCTTCTGAAGTTACTTGAATTTGGGGTAATGCACTTTAATAATCAAATTAATAACTGATACATTTTACTAGTCTAATGGAATACTAGTTTGGGAATATTGAGCTTACTCTAGATATATAAGAATTCCAAAATACTCCTTCTTGACATTTTAGTTTCATTGAGATAAAAATCTCATCACTGAATTTTGGGCTTTACACGTAGATATTACTTAACAGTACTTTCAGATGTTAAAATACATACATGCACCTAATTTTAATCAAATATAGAGCTGACTACCGTATATATGGAACAAATGGTTGATTCACAAGGCACGCATTTAAACAACAGGCCTAACTTTAATTTTTTCATCAAAATTTCCATTTTTATTTAAATGACGATAAATAACGTGCATGAAAACATGAGTTTTTTGGTTGCAAGGTTATATATATCTGCGTAATCAACCAAAACGCAAGCATAATGTAAATTTAATGTCATTGTTGGCAACCTGGTGAGGGGCGTTGGAAGCTCATTATGAAAAAGATTTGTCCAAATGACCACTGTGATATCTCAGTCTGCAAAAAGCCCGGATTTTGCTTGCATCTGACCTTCACTGCGATACGCATCGAACCATTGCAACAAACGCTGCACACAGCGCAGGTCAACGCGTGTTATTTACTCCGGTGCCTTAATCTTTACGAACCATAATTGCCAAGTCAGAAATCAAAGCACACGAAGTGAAGCGCTCAGTCTGGTTTTTTCAAAGCTATGCAACATTAGAAAATGCAGACTTATGAGGCGAAAAGAATTGTCATACTAAAAAACTTACGTGAGTTGTTTCTCTATTGCAACTACTCTCCAATAAAATTTATTTAGTCAAATTACCACTTTTTGCAACACATCAAATCACGCAGCTATGTTATCACTTACACCATGAGTTGAAGCACATTTTAATAAAATACGGAGAGAAAGTCAAGCGAGAAAGCACCTACCGATTCGAGTGGTTCCCACGGTTTATTCGAGGAAGGAGAGTTTTTGTTCTGCACTTCAACCAATTTCTTAGTATTTTGGTCACACTTAGAAGTAGCCGGGGCATGCGGAGGTCGCTGAGACGCGACAGAGGATGGAAGAGGGGGAGAGGGGTAAGGGGGAGGCAGTGCGGAGGCCGGAGGTGGGAGTGACGTCGTAGAGGAATGTGGATGTACAGCGGACAACGACACAGTTAACTCCGGAATCTGAATGCCGCCATGAAACTCCTCTTTCCTCTCCTCGTTCTCCTTTTCACTTGCATCAGAGTCATCGGCGTGGGGCAAATTAAGAGAGTTCAAATCCAGGCTAAATGGAGATACAGGATGTAAATTACGCTTCCGCGTCTTATGATAGAGGTAAAGTTTGTAAAAGTTAGGCATGTCGAGAACTTTTAGCAGATGCAATACATGCACCCAAGAATGCTTTACAGGTATTCAATGGAAGGCACCGATGTTGTGAGTTGGCGAACACCACACTGAAACCCAGAGTTGAAGGACCTCCTGGAATTATGGGAAAATCCAACGTGACAAAATATCTTTTTACTTACATTCCAGGCCTTATTGGTGGTATTAGTAATAGTAGCAGTAGCATATAAACTTTATCAGGTATTCAGTCAGTTGACTGGACTTAAAAAGTGTTCCTCCTGACATTAGACGAGTGCCCAAGCACAATCGATGAAAGCGTAAGTACTTGAAAGAACTATTATCTTTTTAAACAAGAAGTCTTGGTGTGATTTAACTGGTAGCACTCGGAAAATATGCCATAATTATGTGTAACGTTATGGTTAAGAGGTGGTTGGGTATAAATGTACAGTCCCAGGAGGCATGTCCTTTGGAAGACATTAACTAGCCCAGAGGAGATGTTAATCACTTTCAAACCAACGTCCCACAATCATTAGAATATGCTATGGTGCAGCGTCAACAAATCTAAATAGGAACTAAAAATAGTAAAGAAAAAAAACGCTTTATGAATTAAATGGGATGGAAATTATAGCAAAGTGGTTAGTAGACCAGTTGTTAGAGAGTAAAAATAAAATGCCGGTCTTATGGGTATTTGGATCCGTCAAGTAAGCCCTGTCCTGTCATGGGTGATTTCGTACAAAGTATGCAAATACACCATGAGTTGTTTAAGGCTACGTCAGCCCCTCTTGCGTATTGTACGGTTTTAGTTCAGCCCATGTTCCGTATGAGAAATGTTCAAAAGGCAAATTTCTTTTCTCTCAGGTGGTCTATATTTGCTCTAACTGAAGCCTAGAGAATAACAATTTGGCATGGTTTAAAAATCGGTCTAAAATATAGATGGATATCACATAAACTGAAATAAATTCCACAACGCGCGATACGAACGCAATTCGGAGTTTCACAGGCTAAGCGTAAAACTAAAATTTGCAATTGTGACTGAAATTGACTGTCATTATCTCTACACGATAAAACCGAATTTTACTTTGAAAGTGAGTTTGTGAAAATGTTTTCATATGAAAACCTTAGCAATGGATGCTACAAAGTGCGAACTCCCAAATCTGTCAGAAGCCTTGTTCGCACCAAATTCAAATCAAAGGAGACTCAAAATGGTTAGTTCCAGTAGGATGAAATGCAGCATCAAAAATTCAAACGATGCGGTTTGGCTTCAGCTTCACGAGACTACCAAATCTCAGCTGCCTGAGAAATGCTGATGAATACAAAAAGTGTGAACTAGCAGAGTGAGTTTCAAAACAAAAGTCAAATAAATTGTGAACTAAATCAAATGGCGGACCTTGGCAATTTCGGTTTCGAGGGCAGAATTATGCAGCTGCAACCTAGGACGCGCAAGAAGCCAAAGCTATAGAGAAAAGAGATAAGGCCCATAAACAAATATAATTACTTGGTAGGCCTTTGAGCACGTGGGTGATTTATAAACATACCAACCCACAGCTTGCTTTGGAGTGCATCCAGCAGTGCTCCTCCACATGCCACTTGTTTAAGTGATGACCAATAGGCTTTTTGGGAACCTATTATTGGTAGACGTTGCACTGTGGCTTCGCAAATTAGGTAGTAATAGGGAGGCGTTATTCACTTTTGACAACTTCGACTCTTGTGTGGGAACCAAGACAAACGTGAGAAAAATGCTGACCACCAAAATGGCCGTAGGTTTCGTCTTCAAGTCCTGCGCAAGCGTTTACGGTTGTCAGGCGACACGTACACAAAGTGTTTCCGGCAGATCATGGCCATGTTCCCCTATAATTTGGTGTTAACTGGAACCGAAAGTAAGCATTTTAGTTTTTTTACAAAATTTTCAATAAAAAGCATACGCTTACGAAAGATCCCTGTCCAGCTGTCTTTGATATTGGTCAAAATATCAGGGAAAATCATATTTTAATTGTTAAGCGTAGATTGAAATTCACATTAAAAACAAACTGCCCATACCATCCATTCTGCTTTGCATTATTTCTCGGCGGTGGATCTGGAGGCGTGGGGTCTAGTGGTGGCTCCATCACTCCTGGGCTATCAATGTTGGAGTAGACAGACTCCTCCAAATTATTTTTCTGTACAGGATTTAGCTGAATGACACTCGTTAGCTGCACAGCGTTGGCTAAAGAGCGCAGGTAGGCGTTTAGTTTCACGTCCGCGCACACATTTATATAGCCCTCCTCAACGTTGTTGTACAGAGGACTCGGAGGTAGATCAACCATGGACGCGCTGGAGCTCCACTGGGGTGGCCCAAGGCAGAGTGGGGGCTTCGGCGGCGGTGACGTGTCTGTCATCGGTTCCGCCAGTGACCACAGCTGTGCAAGAAGATGCCGATCCTCCAGAGTTAGGCCGCCTCCGCGGTGGAGTTCGGGAGGTTTCGGTGTGCCATTAGGAGTTGGTCCTTTCCCTGGCAGAGAAGGTGTGGCACGAGGAAAGTGGAAGGATAGGAAGCCTGTTTGTTTGGCCTTTGACCTACACAGTTTCCAGAGAAGAAGCATTGCGGTCACGAGTATTTTTATTTGAACCTAATTTCCTGTTCCTTTTTGCACACAAAGTTTATGCAACCTTTCCTCAAATCAGAGAACAAACGAGATGCTCGATTGAATGGATTCTCAATTTTGTAGCATAAAACCGGTAACGAAGAATATTAACACATTAACATACGCAGATTTATAAAGGTTCTCCAACTCTGGGTAGCGTTAATGCTCGATGGCATTAAATATGCACAAAGTAAAAAGGCCCAAGACGTTAAAAGGTGCCTGGTTGTACACATTTAATACTTCATTAACGAAATGAAATTTGGTGGTCTTATCACCGTTTAAATGTGCAAAAATTTCGATTCCAATGAAAATTTAACCAATACATGTCAAATGTCACTCACACCACACCAGTTTGGTAATCAAACTAGCGTTTTTAAATGTGTTGCGTGCTAAAAAATGCATCATTCAAGTTATGACACAAAAGTACAGCCACAGCAATGTAATGCTTGCTGCCTAGTTGCCCTGGAATCTCACCAATGACAAGTCTGTGAGTCCTCGCAGTTGCAGCAATCGTGAGGTGCGACCGACGCCTCAATATCATGCGACTTGTCCTGTATAAGCATAAGTTGACAAGAAGCGTGCTTATTTCCCTATTTTCAACAGTTTCGTTAATAGGATATGGACGCTCAGAAATAAAACTGCAACATGTTTCATTATTCACAAATACTGAATGATGGTGGCAAATTTAAAAAAAAACCTATTTAGTTTATTGGCATATTGGCTACTTAAGGGTGATTATTGAATGTTAACCACAACGTTCATTTGTGATACGAGGATCCTCCGTTTTCGAATCGCGTTGTCTGGTAAAGCCGAGGAAGTGAGTTGCGAGGATGAGACAGTGAACTAAGCGTAAACTCAAGGTTAAACTGTTGCAGCTTCATATAGCACAGTTCAAAAGACTCATTAGGGGCGTATTAAAGACGATATTGGAATAGTTTGATAGAGCGTGACGTGATTCTAGCTAGGACATTGGTTTGGGTCAACTTGGACCTACAACTCATGTGCAAGATTGAAATAAGCAGACACCTACAATTTGAACGAGCAGCCTCAACGTCGAAGTAAGACTTTGTGATTAGCATAAAACCGCGAGGATTCATGCGCGTACACGCAGGAAACTGCAAGAAGCTTTGTAAGTTTGAAGAATTCATTTTGGCAATGGCACCATTTTTGGGCGCCATACAAAAGACGTCACGACCTATTTTTTGAAGCAGGTGCTAAATCACATGACACGTGAGCAAATGGGGACTGTGTTGTGCCATTAAGCAAAGGAGACTCACAATGGGCTCTGCGTTCCATTCACACAGGAGAGGGCCTGTGGTGTTGTGGGCCGAGTGCATCCTGACACCTCGAGACTGAGGAACACTGACTAAATAAGAATGAAGAAAGCATCAATCCAATTGCTTCTCTTATCAGTGACAGGGCAGACTTAAAAACTGATTTTTACAGCAACAAGATCAACATTGAGAAGTTTATCTATGTGCAAAGGCGGAAGATGAAAACATATGAATATTGTCACAACAATTTTTGTGGATTCATTATTTCTTAGTTGGTGATCATGACATCTCCTCATAAATCGAACCCAGTGGGAGGCAACTGACTGTAAATTTTAATTAGTTGTGTCACATGAGTCACCTTTGTCGTAGTAAAAGTCGTGCACTCCAGTTGGAGCATTATCCATTCAAAACTGATTTTGTAATTGCACTTTAGTAACGCATTTCCATGAGCATCAAACTGATATAAATTTTTTTGTTACACGGCGTGGAGCAAGGTTACTCAGGATTTTGTTCCACCTTGAATATTACCCTCTATTTATAAAGGTACGAAACCTGACATGGTTCGATTTCGAAGAAAACTTACTCGAGGTGATTTCATAACACAATTACGCAACGTTAACTGAAAAAAGCATTCTTTTGGCAAAAGCTGTGGACAGCGGATACGCCTATGCGTTACGGCATCCTGTAATCAACAAGTGCATGTGAGTGTGCGCTGCTGTATCTGGATATCAGGAGCCGATGCTTTAGCATCAATGCGAAAGAGTCGAAGGTGGAAAACCGAAACTGTCTGTAAAAACGAGCTAGGCGTATGCAGCACATTGACATACCAAGGCCAATAATGCATGTCGAATAGTTAAACCTACGCCAATGAGATTTGAGGCTTGGACATTGGTCGGATAGCTGTACCATGGGAAAATGGTGTGTGTGGTATAAGTCAGAGACGAACATCTCAAGAACAATGTGCCCCTCTTACAAACAAACGCAGGTATATGAGCAGCAGATGGGTGCGTCAAAAGACATCACTACACAACTCTATAAACCATTTAGGATTTGAATGACTCAGATTAGTGTGAGACGAAAAATCCTGAACGTAACTCATGAGAACCATAAAAGAGGTGGAAAAAAATAAACGCGAAGACTAACATCAAGGAAATCGCTTTGAAAGAGTGTTTAAATTTCCTCGAAGATGGCATTTGAGTTTCAGCAATTGTAATTTCGTGGACTAATGTATGCAAGCAGTCAGAAATCTTTATACAACCAGTGTGAGCGGTGCTTGGGTGAAAAGCATGTGGCTGCACTTTGTATTGTTCTAACGTATTTTGTTGGCGAGTCTAGGCAGAGGTGAGAAGAGCGCCTTAGGAATACCACTGTCTTAAAGATATCATTTGGCTGATATGAAACAAGTTCTGAACAAGACGTCCCATGTAAATTGCGATCACCATACGACACAAATACTCTATCGATGCTGTATGCTTTTCAGCCCATTGTTATCCTTGTTGTTGGCTATGTCAGATATTTCCTCCTAAACGTAATTATAAAAGTGATGAAAATGACTCTGGTTAGCAACCTGCCTTTCGGTTACAGTATAACTAAATCTTTCCTGTACATGTTGGCGACTCAGCGACCAGTCCCAGCTACACGAAACCCCGAGACTACCTCTCGGCCAGCAATGATTAAAAGATGGAATTTTACGCATCCGATCACTGACCAAGTCTCAACAATTTAAAATTGTTTTGCTTCCCCAAAGATTCAGTGGCATGTTCTGCTGCATGTTCCGTGCAGATGATGACACGTCCAAGTCACATGACTGAATGCAATGAGAACAACCAGGAAAACCTTTTTTTAAAAAAAGATTAGCGTTAAAACCGATTTCCTCCTACTTTTGATAACCAGATTTGTCATATTATGAATAACAATTGTGGCATTTTGGTTAAAAAATGTGCAAATGATGGCGTTAGCAACGGTAGCGATGTCACATTTTTGATACCTTATAAAGAAACCCATATAGCATAAATTGTGTGGAAGGAATCCTAAAATCGAATAGGCTCTTTAGTATCTGTATAGTTTAACAAAAGATAAGAAAATTATTGGCCCTAAATGTCCCGCTGATTCAAAGCCGTTAAATCGACACTGATTTTGCCCTAAAATGGTAAATTACTAGATAATCCTGAATATTAATTGATGAAAAGGGTCGGAAGGCTTTTACTCGCTATACACACACTCTTATCAACTGTCTCCTTTTGGTAAAGCAAAGTATTCTGACCATAGTAGGTGTTAAAACCTAAACGTGAATTATGCTTGTGCCATGAAGTGATGCTGTCGATGTGCTCACTTTCAATGGAATTCGGCGTCCCAGACTTGAAGGTAAAGTGCGGCACCGCTGCGGGCTAAAACGTGTTCTAACCGATAATCGAACTGCTCGATTGTCAAAAGAGCTTCGTTAGTAAAACAAACTATCGCCGAGTGTTAACGACAATATTGCGAAGGCCCATCATTGAAATAAGTCTCGGATGTTACACAACAAGGCAACGGATAAAGTCTTTGGACACGCAAGCGACATCTCAATAGGCATCAAGGTGCAGGTCAGTTTTACCCTAAGCAATAGCACGAAATTCTGGGTTTGGAAACGAGGTCTTAACACGACTCGCAAGGCCATATTTGAGACTGATTGACAATAATGAGCACTGGCACATTCGAAATAAGCTCTAACAGACCAGGTATCTGGTACTTCGCCGACACGAAATACTGCATAAATTAATTAAAGTTGCCAATACAAACGGCTGATGTGGGTGTCAGACTTTATAATTGAAAATCGGGGAAATTATCTTTTCTTTAACTCGTTCTACTTATAGAACAATGACATGAGTGTCTGGACAACTTATAACTGCACAAAAACCTTTTTTTTAATAATAGATGTCCACATCAATTTTTTAACTGGTCAGTAAGACCAAAGAATTTTTCAGATATTATTTACTTGGGGCGAACTTTTCGCCTCTCAATTCTTCTGATGGTTTTGAGGTGTGAAAATCAGTGGCAAGGGAGTTAAGGAACTTACCTCTACGTACGACGTGGTTTTCAGGTAAAAAAGCAATGTATTTTACGGATACTAAATAGTATTTCAAAGAACTCGGAGTAACTTGGTAACAATTTCTTGCACTTGGGAGAGGGCCTAAATAATGGTGCCAAACAAGTAAAAGTGTTTTGCTTGTTTACCTCGGCAGCGGTTTGTATGGCCAAGAAACACGCGTTTCCGCGGGCCATAACTTCGCCGACATCGTCCGGAGTTACGACGGTGCTGTTGTGCAACGAGTCGATTTCGTTGCCCGAATATGGGCGGGCCAAGGGGGCGCTGACGAGGATGCTGGCCTTCGAGTTGCTGTGACTCGACGATGGCTGAAGACCGACAGTGGTTTCTCCTCCCAGTTGGGCGGGAAAAACGTTCATTGGAGAGGGTTTGAGTGCCGCCAGCTCGGTTAGCCAACCAGCGAATGCGAAGTAGGCGTTTTCAAAGCGACTCACGGCCTCTAGGATTACTCGGTTTTCGCTTTGAATTAAAAATTACAGGTTTTTTGAGCAGATATATGGAACCAGTTTGATTTTATTTTACGATACACATTTCATTTAATGATCAATTTCCTATAACTTGGAGATTAAATCGGTGGGTATTCATCATTGATTAACTCTATGATTGAATCTAGCATTTGATAAAGTGGCGAGGTTTAAAGGTGAGACACGGTTGGAGAGACGTTGCAAATTACTAAAGTTCTTAAAAGAGTTTAAACTACGCGAAAAATTTCACCACTGAACTAAGCTTATCTCAGTTTAGATCAAACACCACCACGCTTTAATGACTAGAAGGTTTCCACATTAATTAGATAGATCGGAATTGAATTATTTAATTAATAAGTCTTTAATTTTGACACCATAAAATTAATGTGGGTCCAGATACATTTATTCCGGTTAAGAAAAAAAAACATATTACGTTTTAGTAACTGCAAACCCATGTTTCATAAATGTACGCAGTAATCAATAGAAACATCATGTTGAATCAGTATTCATTTACCATTAGAAGCACCAACACCCAACGAACTTTTAGCAGCACAGGTCCACTGTTTGCTTTTCCGAGACTTGTCGAATTTACGAATTGACTTAAATTCCCTAAAATTTTACGAAAGTGGTTGATCTAAATCCCACAGTTTCTTGAAGTAATGGCTTTCCAGTAGTTGTAAACTTAGCTTCAGTAGAGCAAATAACGTCTTTTAAGTTGACGATATTTGGGTAGACGAACCATAATGTGTTCTACCAGAGTTATCAATGCGTAAAATCGCGCAGCCAGTTATGGATGTTCGACTTCCTGTTTTAATAAGGGTCTTCAATGTCGCGAAAGACTATGGCCAGTTAAATGTTTTAGCTGTGCAAATGAGTAAATTGAATCAAATTCACAGTTACACACAATTCTGCCTTTTACTTCTGATCGTCATTTAACTTCGCTAAATATAAGACAAATTTAGGTTTGGCAACAGTGAGCCCACATCCAAGCTTTATAGTGTAAACGTCATGAAAACCACTCCGTCCCATTGAAATCCCTATGGTCACATGTAAAAGTGAAAAAAAATTGGTCTCCTTTCAAAATAAGAAGTGTCATGGGAGTTGCTGAGTAGTTGTTTACACGAAGGCACAATCAAATAATGGTACGTCTTGCTTTAAGCTATTACCAGGCTATCCGAGTGCCACACGCACTTATAACTACAGAACTGACTCCGCGTAGCAACGGCTAATCCTAGATCTTTTCAGAGCAAAAAGAACCCTAGATTCAACTATTCGCAATTTGCGTGCAGAAGTGGATAGAGCAAATGAAGCTTAGATAGTATATGCTTTGATGATCCATCGTTTTTGTAAATAAGTGCATGCAGGCAATTAATATATGGCAAAACACTAAATCGTAAAATTCGACTTATTGGTATAGTTACTACGAGTTAATAGGAGGTGTTGTAGAAACAACTAGCATACAAAGGTAAGAAACAAGGAAAAACGCTGAATTTGCGTGTCGTGGCTGATAACGACAGAACAAAGCACTTCGAAAACTCAAAAAGGGGTTTTATTTGAACAATTATCAATAAGTATGGACTCGTGTAATTGATTTTTAGGTGTTTGTCAGGTAGGTTTCAAACGGCTGAGTAAATAAAAAATGCAGATAATTGCCTTCCGGTGAATTTATTTAACAAGTATACATAAACTTAATAATGGTGGAAAAATTTACATTTTAAGTTACTAGTGCCAGTAAATAATCCCGATAAACCTTTTGCTTTCTGTCCTTATTGAGGGTAATATTTACAGTTACCAATTCTCAATAAAAAATCGATGTTTGGTTTATAATCAACAATATCAAAAGTAGACTTGCCTGTAGTATTGGTCATCTGGAATCTCTATGCCGGAGATCCTAAAGTCATGCGAATTGTTAGAGATTCCCAAAGAAGATGCAGATGAGATGTTTGGTATAGACCTTGACCCGTGTGAGGCAGATGAGGCCGGCAGACTGTCTGTCTGAATGTAGGCAGCTGCCGTGGCAACGCGACAGCGAATGAGACGCAGACATTCAGTGATCTGAGCCACCAAATTCGTCAGATTATCCCTGTGTACGCGTTGACGCAAGAGGTTATTTGTATATGCCAGATCAATGTACAGGTCAGTCTTCAGTTTTTGAAAGTCCAACGAGGGCTGAAACAACAACAGTGAATTTGAGCGCACAGTAGTAATTTTAAAAATGCGCTAACGAAATTGTAGGAAACTTTGTGCCGATTTGTTTGACATAATTGAAGTTTAGTGTTTGAAGACTTTAATAGTTTATATTCAGTATATTTTAAATAATATGCTTTCTATACTATACTATATGCTTTCCTTGTCACTCTCCGACAATTCTACTGACGCACATTTGGTCTGTGTGAAGTCACTTGCTTGGCAAACCGCAAACCGAGGTGATGAGAAGACTGCATGGAAATGGTCTATGGCGTTGACAGGAAGCATCACAATGTCGGCAACGCTCTATTTTATGTCATACTTTGAAAATATCCACGTGATATGAGAGACCGAATGTGTCTGAGTTGTGAAACCACTGATCCTGCCTTAAAAAGGTTTTTATTCACTCGATGAACAAGTGGTAAATATGTCATGAAACTCATTGCAAAATTGCTCTTTAGAAAAATAAGTGTTAGAAAACTGAGGGCTGATAATAACTTAGACTTTTTTTAACAACGCCGACATTTGAAGTGCCAAATACGAAATTAACAATTACAGAGTAGGAATCGGAATATGATTCGCTTCCTTAATATTAATTACCGAGATTATTGACGGATTTTTAGCTATGTGCTTGCTAAATTTTCAGGACTAAGAATTTTATAATCTAATATAAGTAGTGTACAGACATGCGGCCTTTAATTTGAAATTTGAAATCAAAGTGCCACGTCGAGAGTAGTCATTTACTATTTATGGTGTGGTTTTTTAATTGCTAGCAAATGTTATCTAGCTTCCGCTGTTTTAGTAGATTCTGACTACAAGCTATTAAGTTGTAATTTATCCATTTGTCATATTGCCGTAAAATTGACTGAATTAGAATCTAATGACTAGTTTCACTTGAACGTTAGTATAGAAATTCTTTAATAACTCCAAATTACATAAATCTGCAAGCACGTGCATCTGAAGATTTCAATTCGTGATTGCAACAGTTCGTTGACTAATGGAATCGCGTTTGACGAACGTGGAAATTATGAAAAGGGTATATGTAAACACCGGGTTTGCCAACAAATTGACAGACACGCCTACCACAGATTAGTTTACAATCACTTGTTAAGAGGTGACGAGTTCCATCCTGACCAGTGTACCGCAGCTTGTAAATCGTTAAATTCGCTGCAATGGCGCGCCTTTGGCACTGATTTGCATTGCATTTGAGGTCGTGCACACACAATAACGTCATAGGTTCGCACAGAAGTTTCAAGTACAGAGGAGCAACGAAAAACGCTTAATTAAGCAGGACGAACACACCAGGTTGGGTAGCCTGCCCCGTTAGAAGACAGAAACGTGCAATCGCTGGTACTCTATGTCCAACAACACTAAGATTGCCGATCAACTGAGCTATCACCTAGTGTATTAGACATGCGCTAGGTGATTAGACCATATTAAGCTCAACAAACGACAACTTAAGGGAGCCAAAAATCGCAAACGCAGAGTTACTCCTGTGTTCACCTAGATTCCACTAAAACCAGTCCATAAAAGCTCATATTGCAGATTGTGTTCAATTAAATGATAACATCATTGTCGACTTCACATTATTAGGGTAAAGGGTAACATAAGCGACGTTTGTGTTACCTCAGAAAACAGATATTCATACGTGGGAAATGCATTGAAAAACTGAGCAAAGCCAGTCAGTCTGGCGTTTCCAATTTCTCACTACTATCCACTAAATTGCAGTCATTAAAATGCAGGAAGGTTATCTAACAACAAATATATATAGGCTTATTTTTTATTGTTTTGGGCGTTCCTTAGTTTCGCATTGTTTCGGCTTGTGGATTGTTTTCCGGTAGTTTACAAAAGTGTACGTGGTCATAAACGGTAAGCTTTGCATAATCAGCTACCACTGGCTTCGTCACCGAAATGGCGAAACACCAAAAAGAAATCACATACCAAGCTAGACAATAAAAGGTCAGTCTTTGGATTAAAGTAATAACAGCAATAGGTGTTGATAAACGCGCGCATATTGGCATTGTGCCTCTGAATGTAATCAGTTCAAAACTATATTACGACTTGATATCACGCAATTTGGCCAAAAGGCTCCAAATAAAACCACACAAACAAATACCCTCATACTAAGACATGGATCTACTATGTTTGACATGATTGGCAGGCTTGAACAACTTGGCACTCGGAACAACCTGACTTGCAGATGAGTGCAGGCAAAAACACAGAACTGACATGGACGATTCTGTCGCAGAATCTGACATTGACTTAAGTGTCTTAGACTTCGAGGTAATGAATGGCCTACAGCACTAGCAAAGGACAGAAACCAAATGCAACTAATTCGCCAATATTTGGCAACCAGCTACGAGATCACCCATTAACGAAAGTCGGCGAACGCTGACCTATCAAAGGGAAGTAAAAAATTTCACGGAGTTTCCTGAATTTACTGTAACCATTTGCATTTAAAACAACAACAACAACGACCACATTTCACGGTTTCAGTAGTCTGTAACTTTGACCGACCATATTCGTGCAGCAGCTATTTAAAAATTGCGATTTTTTAAGTTTTGTAATTTATTTGGTAAAACTGTAAGATAATTTCCCGAGTTGGCTCCATTTGAAAAATGTATTCAAACGAAATACGTATGCATTTCGCAAGGACGGGAAATCCTATGGATCACGAAATCGGTTACTGGAGAAGTGTAAAGGATATCGAGTTACACATGTATCGAGGTTTGCTTTGGTTCCATAGAACACAAAACGTATACTACTATTCAGTGGCACTCAACGAACCGGTAGTCATTTATTCCATAACATGTGGTCGTAAGAACACAAGCCTGCACTGGATGGTTGTCACTTACTATTTCTTTCAACAGGTTATCAGGTTCTTGGTGCTTCTGGCTGGACAGAAGACGTTTCCGATCACCGCGAAAAGAGGGAATGCGCAATTTCGAACCAGACGCTTTAGTAGAACCTGATCTGAAAATATGAATCAGCCCCTTAAGGCCCTTTGATGACGAACGACGAAGAGGTCCATTTCTAGAGTCGACTTTCGAGCACTCTGTTGTCATTTTAGCATGGCGCTCTAATCTAAAATTTTAATTGAATGTTATAAATATCCTATAGAATCGCTAATATAACAATGATTTCCTAGAATGTAACAGCATAATCCATTTAGCTAAGAGTTGAATCACAAATGCTCAAAACCAAATTTGTAACTGAGCTTAGATTTGAAGCAAGCCGACTAGTGCCTGACTGCACGACTAATCTTAAACCATTTTACCAAATGATTAACCAATTTTCCTTTCCCAAATTATTTTTTCACAAAGGTTATATCATAGATATAAAAAAATGATCATTTTGATTACTTATAAGCAAAAAATGTATTTGAGGAGGTGCAAAACCTCAGTGTCCCAAGACGTTGCCTGATGGAGACGTAAAAACATAACCAAACCTGGAATAGTATAGAGAACCCGCAAAATACCTATGAATCTTCCGCGTTGGGACCCATTTAACGTGATCTCAGGCACATCATCAGGACTTTTTTAATCCACAACCTTTCATTTTTTTATTAAAATGCATATCTAGTCATCACAGACACAACACTGTCAACAGCTATCCGTAGATAAATGTGCAAAAAGCATCAATAGTGCTCACAGTAAACGCAGTTAACCTTTTAGTAGCTAAAACGACGTGTCCTCCTTAACGACGTAAATGGGGTGACTCAAAGACGACCGACAAGGTGCATTTCAACAAAAAGCTGATCGATGCTTTTTAACGCTATTACAATCAAATTGTGTCTGCTTTTTGTCTGCGCTGCACCAAACTCCAACTTTGAGCGACGCCGGCATTATATTATAACTGCAGAACCATCAAAAGCCACTTTATTAGGTTTTTATACGTGCGTGTGTGTCGACAATAATCCATTTGAATTTAAGGCAGTTTAATCGTATACGTAAGTTCCTCTCAACTTCGAAAAAAGAGTGCCTGTTTTAAAATGAGTTGATATGAATTTCGGTTTGTTTCTGTTGAACAAGGTGTGCCAACGTTTTTTAAAGATAATTTCCGTTCCTTGTAGCTCAACTGTCTATAAATTTGAGAGGCATTCAAATATGCAATTCACTATTTTAAATACGAATTTAAAATGGCTGATCTCGAGCTCATTGATACCACAAAATTGCACATTGTAACTGTTTTTCATTTTTATTTTTTGTAAAGATGTGTCTGTATTACCCTTTACTTCATATGAAATTGCACTGGTAATACTGCGGCTACATTATTCACGTTGTAAGCCAAATGCTTTCTGTCAATATTAGTGTAAATTTGCATTTTCAAGATAAAAAAACTTGATTAGTTTGGGAAAAATCTGGTAAAACTAACAAATATTTCATCGGTGGGACTTTCGCTGCAATATTAAGCAATTAGTAGGTAGGGAAAAGAATTGGTGAACCCTTCGATGTAGTTAACTATTTTATCCCACCAAAGCTGTAAAGGCTATTCAAAATTTTCCGTAACTGCTGACTCATTTAACTCCGAGTTACTCCAGAATTGAAACAGTTATGCACAATGAGTGGGCACCAATGGTGGAGCAACAAGGGTTTAAATCGATTCTACTGATCTTGCTTACGTGACATAGAGATCTCCAAAATCGTGTTAAATCAAATCAAATCGTAATGATGTATATGGTTCATGTTCTTCGAGCCCAATCAAGGTCAAACCAACTTCTTAATAGGGTCCAAATATTAAAGAACCCTATTAAGGGGGACATAAATTTACATTCTTTTTTGCCAAGAAAAGATCACTTTTAGTCAACTAAAAATATAAGTGTCTTAAACAAAATAATTTTATATAAAAATCGTACTAAGCAACACTACGAATGTTCAAATTCGAAAATTGTTTATTTTTAGAAAGTAGATATGGACATTTCTACTCTAATTATAGGCATTAACGCCATCATATTACAGCATCACATATTGGTGTCGAAACTTCGATAAATTCAGGCACCAACTATTAACGTGACAAGCATTCGTGTTCGAGGTATCCAAGATTCACAAACGATTATAAAATCCAAAGTGACATAGACGATAGCCAAAATAAAGCTTTATCAAGTTGGTCCAAGCATAAATTAAAAGCACTTCAATGGTGCTTTAAGAATAAGTTAAGCCAGTGATACGATTGGAACAGTAGAAATATGAACCAACTAGTTAGTACAGCGAGACAAACTGACAAACGCCGATTAAACACTTTATAAATACAATGCGAAAATGGAAAATGGCACATTACCCAGGAATACACACATCTCAAAAAAATACAAAACGGCGACCATGCATGACCTTTTGCCTTCACGCTTGCTTGGTTGATTTAAAGAACTAAATCGATTTCACACGTCAGGAAATGTAAGAGATGGCCATAGACCTGATGTTAGTCACGATTTAGGATTCAAAGGTGTTACAAAATTTTTAGTGAAATTTTAGTTGAACTATTAACTATAGTTTAATCGTTTTCACGAAGCAATCCATCCGCGATGCTAATATTCCTAGCATTAATTTTTTTCAGTAAGCATTTGTGTTTCTCTTGCGTGTTTTTAATTATGGTCACTTTAAAATAGTATTTAATATTTGGATCTGTGGTCATGGTAGATGAATTCTCAACGTTTTAGTTCCTCATCACCAAATATTTAATATCGCTAGTTTTTACATCACTCTTACTTCGTGTCTGATGTCACATCGAAGATTATGTAAAATAAACAGAACATAAGGTGCAAATAACTGTGACCTTATTCATTTTGTCTTTGACTTAAATATGACTTCTGTCTTTTTTCCTAATCCCGAAAGTTCGGTTCTCGGCATCTAACACGGTAAGGAGACCGAGAGAGTATGCTTCTCTAAGTCATTTTGGATAATCCTAAATTGACAGGATTGGACTATTAGCTGGATACATTTGCCAGTTGATCCTATTTGGTGACACTATTCCTGTCATTACGTATTTGTAATGGTTAGGTCGTCCTGACCTTCGAATTTGGAGAAAACTCTCTATGGGTGACATTAAGAGGATTGTGTTCTTTAAAGGACCACTCATTCCCAACAGCCTGCATTTATCCATACTTTAGTGACCTAAAGCTGGTCTGCGGGCAGACCTTGATGCTTGCTACTTCACTTAGGTTACATACAAAAACCACACATTGTGTCTCACGCTGACTAAGGTGAAATCTTTCTTTTAGATCATACCATTGTGTGTGGCAATAAAAATACGGGCTAAAACTTTTGGAATCAGTTGAAAATTGTGCGCAATATTATCGAAAACACAATTAACCGCTGAAATTTTAGCTTATCCTTAATGGAATATTTAACGCCTTGAAGAACTCCCCGGTACACATTTGACTGTAGGTATTAGTGGACAGTCCTCGAAACCTAACCCGTTTTTTTTTGAATATTAGTAATTCTGTGGCTCCACATATTTTCGTCAGGTGGCAACACATTGCAAATGTCTGGATTTGATAACTGTGCCAAGGCACTCACAGCAGATGTAAATAGGCCTGCTTTCTTTGGATTCCCCTATTTCATCTCAAGGTATTTCGGGGCGACAAAAATAGTTTGATTTTGTACGTAGTTTCTAATTGGCACCTGATATGCTCCTCCCGAAATGACACTACAGATCAAAATTTTCAGCAAAACAGAATTACTATGGCCTTAAAAAGAATTAATGACTCCACCATGTGCAAAAATCATTCATTTTTATTAGTGGATACTTATAAAATTCAGCTGACTGCCAAATTCATCTGTTGATTTGATGGGCGTCTCGATTTGAAAGTCAAAAGATCAAAGCTGTGTACTTGGGGCTCGTTTTATTTTTTTAATCGGTACTTATATACCAGAGTGGTCACATCTTCGAGTGGATTCGAAATAATACTTTAGCTAATTTCAGTTCCCAAAAATGTTTGTTTTAGTTAACTGATTGAATCTTATTGTAAGCCGGTTCTAATCTGGGCTTAAAATTTGAATATGGATACTCAATATTTCAACTCCTTGGTACTTCTTCCTCTTCGTTAAATAATGAAAAGTTTCTCTCTGGGGCGATTTGGGAATAAAATGCCTAATGCCTGGTGATATCGCCACTTAATTGAACTTCAATGCCATAGCACCCTGTCGTCACCTCTGTTCAGTGAAAAAAAATTCCACACAGGTTCTAAAGTTAGATAATTCTCTTGCCTTGAGGCTACGTCCTTGAATAATATTTTCCCGACAAAGACCAATGAGAATTTTTGGGTTTGTAGGCTCTTATGGCGGTTCTTTTAGTGATGACCCAATGTTTGCATTAGATTCAAATTGATGCAGTCCCAAGTAACCTAGTGGTTTTGTCCATGAGTGAGTCTTCGTTGTCATTCTTGCATTTTTGCATCAGTCAATATGAGAAACGCTCCTGATTTTCAGTCATTTAGAAATCAACTTTATTTTGCGTCATTTGGGTTGAAACAAAATCGATAATGCAATACCTTGTGTAGACCTTTACTTGTCGTTTAAATAGAATCTATGTCTTTCCAATCCCAGAAAAGCCCTTTGGTAAATCTAATTGCTTTTATAGGAACAGCAGATTGCCTTTTGAGCCAAAGACTACTTGCTACATAATGACTTTGAGCATCTACGTTACAAAACTTGCATTTGCTCAATGGTAATGAACTCTTTTTTTGATTCGGAATATTCCTATTTCAAAATTCCCTAATGCATTAGTAAATGAACTTCTCTACGCCCAGCGCTGCACCACTTTTAATAATTAAATCGAAAAGTGCAATTTTCTGCTGTTTTTTGGTAATGTCAAAATGAGAGTGCAAATTGGTAATTTTACTCATTTCCATATGCCTCTTCTTCCTGCTCTTCCTCTTCACCATCATCAATTCCAGCTTCCTGGTACTGTTGATATTCGCTAATCAAGTCGTTCATGTTCGATTCGGCCTCAGAGAACTCCATTTCGTCCATGCCCTCGCTGGTGTAGAAATGAAGAAACGCCTTCCGGCGGAACATGGCCGAAAACTGGTCACTTACACGAATGAAGAGTTCCTGAATAGCAGTGGTGTTTCCAATAAAGGTCGCACACATCTTATAGCCCCGAGGTGGTATATCACAGACAGCTGTCTTCACATTGTTCGGGATCCACTCGACAAAGTAGGAGGAATTTTTCCTTTGTGTTTCCATCATCTGGTCCTCAACTTCTTTCATTGAAATTCTACCCCGAAACATGGCAGCCACTGTCAAATACCGTCCATGACTCGGGTCACAAGCAGCCATCATGTTTTTCACGTCAAACATTTGTCTAGTAAGCTCAAGTATGGTGCAACTCTGATAGGACTGTGAGGAACGACTGGCGAGGGGTGCAAAGCTGGGCACGAAGAAGTGTAGACGAGGGAATGGAACCATGTTCACTGCAAGTTTCCTCAGATCAGAGTTCAGTTGGCCCGGGAAGCGGAGACATGTGGTCACCCCTGACATGGTTAGGCTGACAAGGTGGTTGAGATCACTATAATTTGGATTCGGGAGCTTCAGCGTCCGAAAACAAATGTCATAGAGGGCTTCGTTGTCAATGCAAAAGGTTTCATCTGTGCTTTCCACAAGTTGATGAACCGATAACGTAGCGTTGTAGGGCTCAACTACGGTGTCCGAAACCTACAGCGAAAAGCAGACAAATTGCATTCATTTGGTTTCTCCTGGCGACGCAATTTGACCTTTGGCATATTTAACTCCAACAATCAATAACCGACATCGCCTTGGCTGTTTTAACTTTTAATTGGTGAAGTGCCTGAAGACAAACCAAGTGGACTTCCTTTATCACCTTTGCTGAAACATGTAGCTGTTGGAAATCACCCTAGGAAAGTATTCTTGACTGAGGTTCATCAAGTCCATCTCTGTGCTTCTACGACAAGTGTGCAAAAAGGGTTTGATCACGCGAGTGTAAAGTCATATTGCAAAGAATGGCTTTTTAGTACTTTTGGGCCTCCTATGTTTGTCCTAGTGAAGAATTTTCCCGCGACCTCACAAAAGGGAAAAAACTGTCTAACGGAGTTACTATTTGCGCGTCGTCATAACCATGAAATCTAGGTGATAGTCTGAAATGGAGCATGGACCCTTGACCGTGTCGGTTAAGCGGGCAGTTCACATATTAGGACCCCACTGACTCTTCTAAAAGTTTAAGAGGTTTTTAAATAGGCTGAGGCACAATGTGGTAGGGTCGTAGGAAAATGGAGGCATCGCAAATACGACTTTATCATAAAAATATTTTTGAGGACATTTAACGAAACTCCGACTATTGGCATTGGCAAATGTTTATCCCCAAAAAAATTATTGGGTAGGTGTCACTAAAGTTTTCGACGCTCCATCTTTGTTTTGTGTGATAACTAACTTTCCTTGATCAAATTTCATCCCTTTAGTTTAATAATAATTTAAAAACATGCGTTTAATTAGGACTAGAGAATCCCTAATTCTGTTTCTAGCAAACTCACTTCTCCGTTCACCAAAATAGCCATGATCTAACAGAAATTCATTTTTTAACGAATAAGGGCTGCTGTTTTTACTATTGTATTTTTAAAATCTCTAGAGATACTATACAAATATTTTGAGTATATCTTGTGAGGATTATTCTGCTTGCTTCATATCCATTCTAAACAGATAATTTAATATTCTTCGAATTCTGATCTCGAGATTACAAACAAGGACCATCTCATAGCCATGAATGTATGTGTACTTAGTGTGGGGGGTTAAGATGATGAAACCAACTAACCTTAGGAGAAGGCACAACCGAAAATGACGTCATGATCCTGTCGGGATACTCTTCTCTGATTCTCGCTATAAGAAGGGTTCCCATACCTGAACCAGTGCCTCCACCTAGGGAGTGGCAGAGCTGAAACCCCTGAAGGCAATCACACGCCTCTGATTCCTTGCGCACCACGTCCAACACCGAGTCGACCAACTCCGCGCCCTCCGTGTAGTGGCCTTTTGCCCAGTTATTGCCGGCTCCGCTGTGGCCGTAAATAAAGTTGTCGGGACGAAACAGCTTGCCCAGTGGACCTGCCCGGACTGAATCCATGGTGCCAGGTTCAAGATCAATCAGGAGAGCTCGCGGAACATATTTCCCACCGTGAGCCTCGTTGTAGTAAACGCTGATTCTTTCCAGTTGGTAGTCAGAATCTCCGTGATAATTTCCCGTATCGTCAATGCCATGCTCGTCCGAAATTATCTCCCAGAACTAATATAACAATGAGATATACCACATTTATGAGTCTTGAAATAGAAACCGATGAAATTTATTGAAATCGCAGTATTTCTATTGATTATTTGCTAACGTTTATCACTAAACCTACCACACTGACTTTTCTCTCTCTCTACCTCAAATAATGACTTCCATTAAGCTCCGGCACTGATTTAAAGCAGATAAACGCAGTCAAAATATCAAATGGCAAAAACTGTGGCCAGTCAAGTATACAAAAATAATAAGAATAAGGTGACCAGTTGAAACATTCTCCGAGTATTAAAATTTACTACCACAGATTATATTTTTGCAGTGTACACATGCATTTCTATCTGTAGCGTTCGGTTAAAAAAGAACAAAAGTCATTATCGGATTTGTAGTCATCGGCAGCACTCCCATGAATTCATCTATGTGTTTTATATTAACAAATAATTTAAAAGCAATAAATAATGAGCAAGAATCGAGGGATTTTTCTGTGTGATCAAAATGAATTTTTTGCATAGTTTTACAGTAATACCTTTGATCCAATTTGGTTTCCGCATTGCCCGGCTTGAATGTGGACTAGTTCACGCATATTCGCGACTTGTAGGTCTGTTCAAGTACATAACTTAACCAGTTTATATATCGATGGCATATTAGAAAATGATTGGAGGTACGTGGTCTCACGCACGCACTCATAGTTAGGTATTGCAGACGTTAGACGCCAGTAAGAACGGCTTGCTAACCAAGTCATTGTAATTGTGATAGGCTCGTGATTAACCAGCGTGCGAAAGGCAATTACTTAGATCGATGACATACAGTAGTGATGAATTCATGTACTCAGTTGTGACTAACAGACACTGAGTTGGAATTTGACGCATAGTTGATATGATTTTAATCAAAGTTTTGCCTTAACGATGTGGAAGGCCCTTCTTAGGCACCTTGAGCAGTAACGACAAGAAACGCCTTAATAACTGGAATTATGAATTGTAAAAGATGATCTGGACATGTTGTCACTTCGCATAATCGTTTCGACGTTCCTGTTCCCTCACTATCATGCGGCAGCACCTTTACGTCTGTTTTGACTGTAGAGATTACTTCACCGCATTAGTCAACGCCACAAAATATGGTGTGAATAACGCGTGTTTCTGAAGTCATTGCAAGGATGGCAAAACAGTAACTCAATGAAGTAAACTGCGCATGCTTTATGGAACTTTTTTAAAGGTAAATAATTGCACTACATTTCAGTTTTAGCATAGTTTAGATAGTTTGAATTTACGTAAACAGGACAAAATTTCGAATTAGGAGACGCATTAAAGTGCATAAACTTGGGGTTTTTTCGGTTGTATTCCGCTTGTCTGCTCCAAACAGACGTTTAAATACTCTGACGACCTACTGGAGCTTAAAGTGTGTCAAAGGATTCAATCAACAACTTTCTTGTAGCTAACACACTTTACTACCGAACTTCATGAGTGTACTTTGCTTGTATAAATAGACTGTTTCTTCCCTTTTCCGATTGACCTCGCCTGTCTAGTAGCCATGCGTCTTTGTTTGAAGGAAAACGCAACCTTGTTTAAACTCCACAGAAGAAAAGTATCGACAGTGAATAAACTCAACTGACTAGATAAAAGGAACTTGAGTGCAAATCTGTCAGGTGTTTGCAGAAGCTTGCATGCTTAACTTCAAGTAAATTTAATGTGCTAGATTAACTCTAAAAGGTTTCCCTAGTTGGTAACGGATTATTAAGACAATGAACACCTTAAAAAGCGAGCTAATTACTTTGCATCATTGCTTTCTCCAAATAGCTGTCGAAGACATTAGCAGCCAAATGCTACCGGCATGCATCTCTGAGAGTCTTAAGGGTTATCAAAACCTCCACTTTACGCCGTCTTTCATCTGTGTGCCAATTGAAAAGAGCCCTTTATCGATTAGTTCTGTTAGACTTGCTTAATTACAAGTTAGAAACAGATCTTACAATTTTGACCAAATCTTTTTAGAAAAATAGTAAAAACCAGTGTAATGGAATGGAGTTCAATTCATTTGACTAATTGGGGCAATCTATCCCTCCAACTGCGGTACATATTATATTTCTGGTTGTAAATACTCAGCACGATGTATGGACCAAGCAGTATCAGAGGTCTTCATTGGGTCAAAAAGCCGTACGGCTTCTTTCACAGAAGATGCATAAGGTAATGAAAGAAGAATGAGCGTTACTTTCAGCAATCTAGAGAACCCCAAATAATTTTAGCGCCTGGAATTAAAGTTAGCGCTGGCTGAGCACTTCAGAACCAGGATGTATCAGTGCATATTACTTCCGGTGTTGATAGTGGGTTAAAAGAATGAAAAAAGTTATTTTTAAAACCATCAAGCTGCTGTTTTTAAAAAAAATCTGACAAGAAGAAAGCGTGGCTATTTGGTCGTGAAAATAATTTTGGCTCTGACTTCGAGTTTTTAACTCAATGTTTTACACGTTTTCTACCCGAAGCTTTGTGAGAGAAAAATGGTCATGGCAGAGAATTCCCTCTAACATCAGGTAAAAGTAGGTCCTATCTCAAAATTTGCGTTAGGTTGACTTGATTAACCACCACATATCTGTCTCATCATGGATGTACTTCAAAATTATTGTGTTTGCGTTTGACAATATGGATTGATATAACCATTTTAATCAAAATAATGGTTAGCTCATAGGTGCACTCTCTTTTGTGACTCAAATTATTCATTCCAGTTCGTCCCATGCAGGCAACTGCCAGGATAGTCTTCGAAATCCCGGAAGTAAAGCCTGATATTTATGCGGCAGTGTGCTATATAACCGAAAATTCAGTTTTTGTGTACATGACGCTGGCATTTTTCAAGTGGGTCACCTCAGATTTAAAGAGTTTGCCTACAAGACATACAAAATGATAAAAATACCGACTGCTTTAAAAGTTATAATTTATAACACCATTTTATAGGTGAACTGTCCCAATAAAACGAACTAATGGTTACAACGCAGCAAAAACTGCGGCATCGTCTTCACGGCCCGGCTTGTGCGCCGTGATGTGCTTAATGAAAACACTGGTATCACTTAATAATAGCTTGGAGTAATTCGACCTTTTACATAGATTTGTAGGTTTGCCTGCACCGCCCTGCAACCCTGCCAGTCAATAGCTTGGACCCTCCAAGTTCAAGAAAAAGCCATGAGACTGCATGCGACTGTTTATTCACCTACGTGCCAGTCAAATGTGCCTGTGTGTGTGGTCGGTGTACAGAGGACTTACTAACGAGGCGACAAAGGGTGGGAGCCAAAGATAGGGCTGAATGAGTCACGTACCATCTATTTTAAGGGACACGTTCGAGGCGCTTTTACTCATGCGCCAACGGTGATGAGACACCAAAGATTTGTATTCACATTAAAGCTAAGTGGCGTGATTGAAAAGCTCCCATCCTGTGCGCTACTTGCCCTTTGGTGAGAACCTCAAAACTTCACTTTAAAATTAGCTTTCCAAAGTTTGATCATGACTTCATTAACTTCAGCCGCGGTCGTCATTCACATATTCACATCGTATTCCCAGGTGCTTAAATTTGAGGGGTCACCAAATGATCTTGGTAATATAATTAGGGTTTGAGATTGTATACTGATGTACGGTGGTATAGCGAAATTCCTTCTTGCAACCAAAATAAGACTCAAAATCACAATCCTTGATTCTATCACCACGCATAAAGAATCATTCTAAATAGTGTTTTAATAAATTTTGCAAAAGGTGAAGTAGAGAGTGTTTTGTAAAGCCTTATGTCTTATTGATTGGGCTCGCTCACAGTCGCAATTTGTGTTAGAGGATTGCGTGGTTATGCACAGACACTCGACTTAAGAAGCTGGCACACAGGCACACATTCATTCTCAGTCAAATTTGGCTTCAAACATTAATTTAAACCTAACAACTAAACCCTGCCAGAATACTAGTTGTCCCCTTATGCCTATCAAACCAGTCATTCCTCTCGGATACCATGATCTGGAACGGGATGCTGTTGCAAAATAAAACGTAGTCTGGAATAAAATATAAATCGAATAGAAACTGAATGCCGTTATTCTTAAATTTAGGCTATAAGCTCTCCTGCTAGGGATTGGGTTTGGTCAGTGACTTTAAAAATACAGCTTCATTGGTATGTAGAAAAGTACCAAATAACTGGATATATTGAAGCTAATATGACTCCTCATAACTTACATTTCTATTTATAAGTGTTATTGATTTACTTGGCTCTAGTGATATTGGTTGATGCCAGCATACTGATTGATATACACTCCCTAATTATCATTTCGCTAAGCCTGCAGTTTTCTTATCTACAAAGTTACAACATAGTCGTTTAAAAAAAACCATTGAAAAATTAATATCCTTTAAAGCTCTGTTATGTTGTCCAATCGAGCAAGGCATTATGGTAATATTAGAAAACTAACATTTTCAATGGTGGACACTGAGAGAATAAGAAGGGTATTTTAACCGATTTCATTGAGTGCTTAAAAGTACTGACTGTTTCGAGCAAAACTTCCGCCAATCTGAAGGGTTGTTAAAGTGGGGATGTTGGTAGGGTGCGCAAAAATGGAAAACGACAGTGAATTGTTTTGTTCTGGGACTGTCATGCAAGAGAGCCGTGGCTAGATCAACTTGAAAACCAGGCGAAAGAGGAAAGTGGAAAGCTGAAATTGCCTTCAAGTTGATGCTGCTTTTGCTCTGTAAGCTATTCGAGTTCGTCAGAAGTAGGCAATAGCCTAACACGTCTGTGGCCTGTGGATTCATTAAGCACAGTTATTGTACACGTTCCTTTTATAATGCCGTATTGAACGCTTTTAATTGAAAACTAAACCTGTCTGTCATTATGGAGCAAATATAGTTTATGTTGCCTACTTCATCGGATTTCTTGCTAATGCCACATAGGCACTGTTAAATCTAAGACGCGACACGCTTAAAAGGATTAAAAAAAGCATACACTCTCTTCGCACACACTGCACTTCATGTTTAATCGGTTGCAACAAACCATCCGCCATTGATCCAGCTGACGAGTGACTGTGTTTTGCAAAAGGACCCCTTGTCACACTGGTAACAAGGAGGCTGAGAGCAAGTTCGCAATGAATTGTCAACAGCAACAACCACAGTTCAATAAGGTAATGCAGCTCACTAAAGTTTTGGCGGTATGTTTTGAGGCAGATGACAAGACGATTGAGTTTTTAAACGAAATAAGAAGAACGCTTGTTGGTTTTGCCAGCTTCCCGCTAAAAATGCCAGCAATTTTTTCCTAAATTAGCCATTAAAGACAACAATCTTGTAAGATGTGAGCAGGAATTTAGGAAAATCGTATGTGCTTGCGGGCATGGCAACAGCGAAAATGCTACGCAGTTGTCGCATAGACAAAAGCCGCAATTGATGAATCTCCTAACACTAAGGAATTCCGGGTATAACCACTAATTAGGTAAATCTCTAAAGTTATAGCCATCTTGCAGCTACCTTTCTCGACTGTCCCTAGAGACAAAAAGCGGTGGCAGTTAGAGCATCCGCTTGGTAGTCCGATGTGTGCGTAGAGAAATTGCATGAGTTACTAGTGTGAATTCGAAGAAGGGACAGTGTCAGCTGCAGGTGTTTAGGCTGGACATTGGTGCTTAATGGTGGTGCATCAGTAATCCGAGAATTACATGAAGCGTGTCGATAAATGGAAGACATGAAAATGAAAACGTGTCAGTGCTCTAGATTTACGTCCATTCAAGTTTGGCATCGCCTAAATGTATTAATTAATCACTACTTGCTTAATGTAAATAGAAGAACTGGTTTGCAACCAAACTAAATCCAAGCCAATTTTTTGTAAGAGGTAACTGTTAAAGTAATTCAAATTACCCCCTAAATTGGTCATTTTATTCTTCCTGAGATCAAGTAAACCACATTTACGTGTGCTTGAAGACTTGCTTAATGGCCTACCATGCAATGCGTAGCCGTTAAGACCTGAACAAAGATGCCTTCTGTTTGCTTTTTTTGTTAGATACAGTATAATGTTTACACCAATTGAGGATCCAGGTGAATTCCAGTTGACTAAACGGAACTCGAAGATTCATTCTTAAACCTGCTGCGGAGGTACAATTTATCCACCGTTGGCAACTAAGCAATGAAAAATATAAATCAGTACTGTTTTACATTAAAATGTTTCTGTTGAAGTCGTCTAATACCTATTTGAACCAACGTGCTTTCCCGCTAGACGCGATGGCAGCGCTAGAGGGACTGCCAGTATGTAAGGCCATCATTTTGCCTGGTAAATGTCAAGTCAGCGACAATCTGACTCACCGTGCAAGTTATTAATGGGCCCGACAAAGCTGCTAAGTTTGCACATGCACACATGTGCAGTGCACTACGCTCAACCCATTTATAAAACCACGCGTCCCTTTGTTTATGTTACTGATAGTGTGTTGCCTTTCCACAGAGTTCCACTTAGTGGAAGAAGGGTTGCTTAGT